AACAACAGCGACAGCTGTTGGGCAGGCGGCCTGCTGTCTCGAACGGACACAGGCCGCGGTGGCGCGGACAGCGAGTCCTGTTCCAGATGAACAGGAACTGCTGCTGGGCATTGTGCCCATTCCTTCCGTGCCCATCTCGTTCGCGCAGATGGAAAAAGGGGGATCCACCTCCGAGGGGGGCGGAGGGGTAGCAGGTCCGAGGGGGGCGGAGGGGCAGCAGGTCCATCCACCTCCGGAGGCCCACGACGGACAGTGCTCGACAACGCCCGGCTCCAATGGGAATCCCCTCGGCGGGCCAGCACCGGTCGAGGACGGCCCCGGGTGGAAGCGCGGGCCCCGGGGAGGAGAGGCTCTCTATAGGCCGGTGGGGGCCGACGCCGTGGGAAAACGGCGACGTCGGAGACCTGGGGGGAGGGTTTTTTGATTTGCTCGCGGGTGATCGTCTGCCGAACACTCCTGCCCGTGGCGCCGAAACGACGAGCGAGGGGCCCGAAGGAAGGGCCGAAAGAGACGAGGGACGGACCCCAGGAACCCAGACAGAGCCGAGCGAGGGACCCGACCGAACACACAGGGACAACGAAAAATCGAGGGCCCGAAACAGAGTGCGGGGGAGGAGGAGGGGCAGGAGAGGGAGACTGGGAGAGGAAGGAGGGAGCGGGGGAGGAGGGATTCCTCCTGCTCCTCCCCGTCCTCCCTGTCGCCACGCTGGCCCTAACAGGTCAGGCTGGGAACAGAAGAGGTGGGAAGGAGTGCAGTGATGGAGGGAAGGAGCCCGTAGCCCACATCCCCAAACCGGCGGCCCGGCGGCAAAATAGGTCTGTCCCAATCAGCGTGAGGATTCACAGTCCCGCTCTGTGAGTACACGAGCGATTCCGCATTGAGGAGCACACGCACGGTGAACCTTTGTTCTCGTCCCGTGCGGCTTTTCGCCTGCGACGGGGAGTCGGCCAATCGACAAGTCGCGGAATCGGGGAGTCGGGGAATCCGGGACTCGGGGAGTCGGGAAGCCGGGTCGGTCGGCACTGCAGCATGCCAGAGCACAATGCGCGGTGAACATCGCGCTCACGTCGCAATGCGGACTCGCACCCCAAACGGGCAGCCTTGGGTCCATGTCTCCATGCCCTCGCCCGCGACCCCGTGTGAGAGTTCCCATGCACGGAGAACGCCACGCTCACCTCAGAGTGTGCTTCACACGTGCGGTGGCCGTCCTGTACGTCATGTCCGCCTCGCGCGGAAACGTCACCCGACTTCGCGCCCCGCGCCCCGCGGTGCCCGATGCGCAGTAACCACCGCGCCTTCGCGTCGTCGCCCTGGGGAAGGGCGACCCTCCAACCCAGGGCGCGAGGCGCGGTTATCTTCGCGCGCTGCGCGCCGCGCGGAAAAAAATGTTTCGGGGAGGTGCGGAGTGGAATGAAGGCGGGAGGGCGCTGCTGGAGGAATCGTCGGCTCGGGTCATATCATCGCTGGTGCCCGATATGTTGTGAGACGCGGTGAGGATACGCAGACCCCCGAAGCTCGCTCGGATTGGCGGCCTTGACGCCTCATCCTCCTTGTTGTCAAAGTCATCCTCCTCACCACCATCATAGTCATCATGATCATGGTTACGATCATGATAATGAGCATCATCATCATCATCATCATCATCATCATCATCAGCATCATCATCATCATCATCAGCATCGGCATCTTCATCCTAATCATGAGCATCATCATCATGGGCAGCATCATCATGAGTTTGACCATCGTCAGCGACCTCATCATCATCACCAGCAGCAACATCATCACCATCAGCATCCTTACCAACATCCTCATCCTCCCCATCAGCATCGTCGTCATCATCAGCATCATCGTCGTCGCCATCATTATCAGACGTCCTATCATGATTCAACCCATCATCGTCTATCCTCAGCATAATCCTCGTCTTCATCGGCATCATCATCACCACCACCAGCATCAACATCAGCATCCTAATCATCAGCAACGCCAGTATCAGCATCAACATCATTAGCAGCATCGTCATCACTATCATCATCCTCAACATCACCATCATCAGCATCAGCATCAGCATCACCATGATCATCATGATACAGATCATCAGCATGTGAGTGCCCCCTCTCCTCCTCAACATCACCCAGCTGCTGCTGCTCCTCCTCCACCCTTGCAGTTACATGAATGCACTGTCCAAGCATCATCGTCATCGCCATCAGCATTAACACCATCACCACGACCACCATCCCCTCTATCAGCGTCATGCACAGAAGCTGTATCATGTCCTTCCTCCTCCTACTCAACTTCCTCCCGTCCTCTTCCGTCGCGCAAGCCCCGTTTTGTTTGTAGCCAGCAATATATATATATATGTGTTTATATAGATAGATGGGTTCATATGTTTCTCCTATCTCCCTCTCTCTCTCTCTCTCGCTCTCTCTATATGTATATATGTTTATGTCTCTCTCTCTCTCTCGCTCTGTCTCTCTCTCTCTCATCAGGCGTCTCAATGTGCTGCTGCTCCTCCTCCTCCTCATCATCACCACCACCACCACCATCATCATCATCACCGCCACCACCACCATCATCATCATCCTCATCATCATCAGCATCATCAAAATCATCATCATCATCATCAGCAGCAGCATCATCATCAGCATCATCATCCCATTGTTTCTCCTCCTCCTTCCCATTTCCCTCCTCTTCCTCCTCCTCCTCCTTCTCCTCCTCCTCCTGTCCCTCACTCAATCACTCCCTCACTCACTCACTCACTCCCACTCCTACTCCTCCTCCTCCCGCCTCCTCCGCCTTCGGCGCACCGCACGGACCAGGAGAGCCGACCGTGGCAGCCGACGGAGAGATGACAGTACAGACCCCTGCCCCCCCCTCTCCTCCTCCTGCTGCTCCTGCTCCTCCGCCTCCTCCTCCTCCTCCTCCTCCTCCTCCTCCTCCTCCTCCTCTTCCTTCCTTCTCCTCCTCCTCCTCCTCCTCCTCCTACTCCTCGTCCTCCTTCTCATCCTCATCCTCATCACCCTCATCCACCCGTATTCCGTATAGTTGCCTCCACCTTGTCGCACCACCAGACGCGTCGGTAGGGCGGGCCTGGCGCTTCACCTGATAATTCCTCGCCACTTATAACACTGTGACGCTGGAACGTTGCAACAAGTTCCTGTATGGAAGGCGGGGGGTCACAATGTTTCTCCTGGCGTGGTGCCGCGCACATTCGCCTCCAAAGTTCGCAAGAGCTTCCCGGATGGATGGCGGTCTCCGTTCAAAAGGTGGCTCTCGCCGCGCTGCCGCGCACACTCGTTTGAAAAGTGTACAACCGTTTCTCGCATGGAGGGCGGCCCCTTTTCAAACACGTGGCTCTCGCCATGCCGCCGCGCACTCGTCTTAAACAAGTGGCAACCGACTCGAGAATTCGTACGGTTGACGTGCCAGGAACGGTGTCCTGGCACGATGGAGCACTGCCTGGGCGCGACAGTCACGTCGATCCGCGGTGCTGGCAACGAGGGAGAGGTGCTGTGGCACGGCCCAGGATTGCCGGGGCCCAGCAGCCACGTTGATCCGCTGCGTGGAAGTCACAGGAGGAAGCGTTTTGGTACGACTGGTGATCCTCGAACGGCTGCCTTCTTCTTGGGCCACTCCCCGCAAGGAAAACCAATTCTTGCAGGGACCTATGCGGAGGGATTTTTTTTTTTTTTTTTTTTTTACCCCTATCAACCCCTGAACTTCTTTGTGATGCTTGAGGGCACTGTGCCTCAAGACCCCACTTCGGGCACTTCAAGCCACCTTCCGCGGCCTGTAGTGGCCCGCCCAGGCTGAGATCCCTCAGCAGCAGCAGCGGTGACACGCACACGGGGAGAGGAGGAGGAGGAACTAGAGAACTGCACAGCGGCCTGCTGACTCCACGCTCGTGAAAGGAAAGGGTGGCGGCGAGCAGTAACTCGCAGCCGAGCTTCGAAGTGTTCAGCTGGGGTTCCTGGGGTGCCCTTACGCCTGGCGGAATGGGCAGCGAGGAACGCATCGATACAGGCGGCAAAGAGAACATTAGACGAACGTGGTGAGGGTGAAAGAAGGAGTGCGGGGAAGAGCCAGGGATACCCCTCAGGAATCGACGGCGACGGTGGAAGAATGTGTCCAAGCCAACAATGAAATAGATGAAAGAGACGGGGGCAGCGAGCATAGTGAGCAACTGAGTCAAGGTCACGACCTTGCGCGTGTGGGCACCCCAGGAGGCAGCCTTTCGCCGCCGAATGAAATCGGGTCGAAGTACAGACTGATCTCGAGAGGAATCTGAGGAGCGACACTATCATATACGGCTGTGTTTTCTGAATCACGTAGAGGGCATTGATGAAAAACCTGTCAACCATCTCACGCTGTACTAGGGGAAACCATTTTTGAATACGACGCTGTAGAATACTGTGTGGGTGTTCTCGACGCGACGTGTTGGCCCAGAGCATACCATAAAGTAAATGTTGAAGCTTTTTGTGTTCAGATGGGATGCGTGCTAAGATAGTAGGGGGAGATGGACTCGACGGAGTGCGAGGCAGACTGAAATACCACTCATACAGCCGGCGCATATATGCAAGGAAAGATGAATTCCACCATCCACTGCAAAACCGAACGAAGATACTTTCACGTTCATCTCGCAGGGCCTCCAGCCTCGACAACGTGATACTGAAAGTGCTGCTGCGAATAACATAGCGAAGGCACGTTGCACGGGCAAGAGTCTGAAGGTCCTGAAATTCCACAGGAAGATGGAAGCTAGATAACTGCGTACATAAGTCGTATGAGAGTGAGTTTCGTGGCCCCGCAGTGAGGTACATGACCGCCTCCTTATACATGTGAAGAAGAGCAGGGGATACAGGATGTAGTTGTAGAGTGAAGGACAAGATGGAGACACACATGACTTTGAAGGCCAGCGCCGAACGTGTGAGACCGAGGCCCAGCTGTCTGGTGATCCCGACACGGCGACGAAACTTTGGGGCGGCCTCGCACCACGCAACCATCTCGGCACCACGGCCGATATAGATACCTAAGTATTTGACAACCTCTAAGACCTGGATCTTTTTGAACTCACCCACAAGCAACCGAACCGAGTCCCTCAGGAGGTTCACATCAAGGGAGCCCACGACCAGGATCTGACATTTTTTGAAGTTAAGCCTGAGTCCCGCAATCTTTTCGAGCCGAGTCAGCAGGGCGAGGAGGGGGCCCAGCTATGCGGAGGGAACTTTGAGACAGGGTGCAGTGCAACATCGTTGGTGCGTCTTGGGCTCGCAATGGTCATCCTTCTCCTATTCTTCCTACGCCTCCTCCGCCTCCGCCTCCGCCTAGTCCTCCTCCTCCTCCTCGCGCCAGGAGAGCCGACCCTGGCAGCCACCGAAGAGATGACAGTGCAGACCCCTGCCCCTCCAGCTCGAGCGGCCCAATCGGCCCCACCTCGCGAGCACGCGATGGGGGCAGGGAGAGGGGGAGGAGGACGGGAAGAGGAGAAGAGAGAGAAGGACGAGGAGGAGGAGGAGGAGGAGGAGGAGGAGGACGACGACAAGAAGGAACACGAAAGGAGGAGGAGGAGGAGGAGGAGGAGGACGACGACGACGACAAGAAGGAGCACGGAAGGAGGAGGAGGAGGAGGAGGAGAAGGAGGAGGAGGAGGAGGAGGAGGAGGAGGAGGGGGAGGGAGGAGGAGGAGGAGGGAGGAGGAGGAGGAGGAGGAGAGGGAAGGAGGGAGGAGAGGTGGAGGAGGGCGAGGGGCACGCGCGCACCCCGCGCCGCCCTGCCGCGCTCGGGGCCCCGAGGCCCCACCCTCTTCCGCCGCGCCCTGGCTCCCCCGGCCCCCTCCCCTCCCCGCCTCCTTTCCCGACTACCCACCAGACCAACCCAACCCGACCCGAGGACCCAAACTTTAGGTTTGGGAGGGGGCACGGGTTCCGTCCGTGTGCTTTCAGATGTTCCCCGGCGCCCCCTCCCCTGGGAATGGAGGGCAAATTGGGGCCTTCGGGTTGGGCTGGAGTGGTTTGGCAGGCGGTGATAGAAGTGCCCCTGGCCCAAGGTGCCCCTAGGATGTCCAAGCAGGCCCCCACGGCTTCCACCGCAACCCTCACGAGGCCCAGAGGCTACCAAACGGAGCGAAAAGCTGGGGGCACCCTGTCGGGGGCGGCCAAGAGGGGGGCGTCCAAGAGGGGGGAGTGCAAATCATGGCCGGCGGCATGTGCGCGGCCCAGGGAGGGGGCCAGGGACGTATTGAAATCAGAAGAGGCGCCATGAAATCTGGGGAGGTATCATGGCCCCCGCCGTGATATCCACCCCCCCGTAGCCATCACCCGGCCAGGGCCGCCTTTAGCACCCCCCGACCCTTCGCATGCCATCCGAGCTCCCCCCCCCGCCTCCTCTCGCTGCGGACAAGATCACGACGGGCGGCGTTTGCAACCGGCGGCCTCCAGGGCCCCTCGCCGGGCCCCAGGACCGCCACCAAACAGCCCGGGACGAACCCTCGGCCCCAGAGAGGCTCAGACGAGGAGGAGGAAGAGGAGGAGGAGGAGGCGGAGGCGGAAGGGAGGCGGAGGAGGCGGCGGAGGAGGAGAAGGAGGAGGAGGAGGAGGAGGCGGAGGCGGAGACGGAGGAGGAGGAGGAGGAGGAGGAGGAGGAGAGGAGGAGCTCCGGGGGCCCACGCTGCGCACGGCAACGCGACGCCGGCGCCCGGGGCTCCCCTCCCTCCTGGTCCCCGGCGGCTGCTGGCGCCCGCCTCCCGTGCATACCCACCGCCTGTGGCGGCAGCTTGTCGGCCTCGGCCCTGGTGGACGAATCCTGCCTGTCCCGGCGTCCCAGGAGGAGGAGGAGGAGGAGGAGGAGGAGGAGGAGGAGGAGGCGGAGGAGGAGGAGGGGGAGGAGGAGGAGGAGGGGGAGGAGGAGGGGGAGGAGGAGGAGGAGGAGCAGGTTTGCCCTCGGACTGCCGCCTGCCTGTCCTGTGCCGCGTCCTGGTCGCCGAGCCGATGTTCACTGTACGCCGCGCTGTACTGGGTTGCCCGGTGCCCGTGCGGGACTTTTTGGTGCAGCCAGAGGTTCTGGTGGTGCAGCGCCGCCCTTCGCAGACAGGTCCTCGGCTTCACCCGCGTCGCACTCAGAACAAATCTTGCCTACAGTGGAGGTCACTCCACAAGAAACCTTCCACGAGAAACCCAGCCCTGAGACCCCAAGACGCCCATGGGTTTTTGGCGTGGGAGCTTCGCGCTTTCCATCGCAAAACCACCGAAGCCCACGAACCCCGGGCGCCCTGCAGGCGAGCAGGGTGTTCCTTGGCATGGGCCGTGCCTCAGAGCCCCATCCGAACCTCCGCCGTTGCGCCCCTCCCCGCCCCATCGGCCGAAGAGGGCGCGGCCGCTCTGCGTGTGCGCGCCGCGTGCCGCAAGGGCAGGAAGTGGAGGAGGAACCGAGGAGGGGAATGGGGCAGCAGAGGGGGGGTAGGGAGGAGGAGGGAGGGGGGAGGGGACGGGAGGGGGAACCGAGAGGAAAGGAGAGGGGAGGGGGGAATCGAGGAGAGAGAGGGAGGGGGAGGGGCGACCGAGGGGTGGACTGGGGCAGAAGAAGGGGGGGAGGGCGGGGGAAAGGGGGGGGCAGGGGAGAGAGAGCCCCCTCTCCACGAGGTTGAGAAGGATGAAGGAGGCAGGAACTCCATGGGCTTGCTCCGATGGCGTGCCGAAGAGAAAGACGAGTGATATGAGCCTCTCCTCTCTCTCTCTCTCTGTCACTCATCGTCCTCATCCAGCCATCTATCCGTCCATCCACCCCCATCCTCCACCTCCCTCCCTCCCATCAACTCATCCGTCCATCCTCCTCCTCCTTCTCCTCCTCCATCCCCGTTGGTGGGGGCCTGGCACCTGTTCTCATGGTGTCAGTGCCACACACTCAACGGGGCACACTGTCAAGAACTTTGTCCGCCAGCTGGGAGAGGCGCAACCGGCCGTTTCCTTTGTGGACCAAACGGCTTGGCGTCCTCGCCTTGCCGCTGGTGGCGTCAGCAACGCCCGTAGCACTGGATGTGGGTCCCAAGCACGGGGATCGCGCATTTGGTGAAGAGGTGGGGCCATGTGGCCCGTAAATCCCATGGGAACTTGTGTCCACTGCCCCTGGGGTGCAAACTCAGTTGCGCGTTACGCAGGGTTGAGGCCGTTTGAAGGTCACCCTACGCACCAGCCGTCACGCTCAGGCTGCGAGTCGCTGGCAACGTGGTCACACCTCTGTGCCCTGACTGGTTTGCGATTGAAGCCTCTGTGGTAAGCAACATGCTCCAACATGGTAATCCTCCTCCTCCTGCTCCTTCCATCCATTCGTCCATCCACCCTTTTCCTTCCCCTCTTCTTCCCCTCATCTCATCCCCATCCACCCATTCAATTCCACCCCACCCCCTGGAGTGGGGGTACATTGAGCGAAGCTGCGAGAGTAGCCGGGAGGGGGAGGCGGCGGAGGGGGAGAAGACGACTGCACTGCGCCTCGTCAACGCCTGCGATCTCGCACCTCCGAAAGGGCGGGGCTCGAAGGGCGAGGCCCGCCCACCACCAGCACTTGAGGATGCTCGGGCAGCCAACGGCGTCATGGAGCCAACGGCACGGCAAATCGTGGGCAAGAAGCGTAGCCCTATCCGCGGCCTCGTGGCTACGGGATGCTTTGTCGTGGATGCCCTGGGCGGAACGTGTCCGTGCGACCGCGAATCCGCAAGATCGCGCCCCAGAGTCCAGAACGCGAGGGCGTGAACACGGATATGTTCGCTGCTCGTGAGCAAGACTCCAGACTGCGCAAAGACAGCCTCCCCAGGTACTCCACTCCCGGCTTGCCTCAACAGGCCTCTCAAGTAGTCCTGATGGGCGCTTTTTCCACCACCGCCACCATTAGTTGAATGTGGGGAAGAAGGATGAGGAGGAGGACGAGGAGGACGAGGAGGAGGAGCAGGAGAACGAAGAGGAGGAGGAGGAGGAGGAGGAGGAGGAGGAGGAGGATCCCCTCCCCCTCCAACTTATGGTGGTGGTGGTGGAAAATATGCCCATCAAGTCCGGGGCGGTCTCCGCACCCCGGCCACTCGTCTCCAGACTTCGTGGGAGGCCTGTCGAGGCCAGCAGGGACTACCAGCGGGAGCCGTCTGTGCTCAACCCGAAACCTTACATCGGGCATGTCCTCCTACAGGGGGATGTTGGACGAAACATGAAAAAAACACTAAAACAATACCCCCAAGTGGTCAACAACAATACACCCAAAATAGTCCCCAGACTATTTCTGACTATTTTTGAACATTCCTCCTGTAGAGGGACAGGCCCGACTTCACCGAAACCTTGCCAAGCCCACGGTCTCACGCAACCATCGGCGCACGCGGATGCTAGAACAAAGCCGGTGCCAACCATCAGTGGCACGGTCGTTACGACGCCAACAGTGCGAGGAAAACATACCGAAACATCCCCGCGCAGAGATGTTCCTCCGGGAGCACGCGGAACGGCACCACCCTGCAATGAACATGGCCACGCTGAAAACGATTGGGCGCGCCTCCCTCACTCAAAGCACGCTCATCCGCCCATGGAGGCGATCCCTTCAAACAGCTGTGACAGCGCAACGGCAAGGGCAGGGGCTGGTGGTCCGAGGACCACTGCGGTCTTCTCACCACCGCCAGCAATTTAAGGGGTCCGCCCAGGCCCAGGTGCTGACAGACGACGTTGAACAAAAGCAAACCAAGAACGAAGAAATTATCCAGGCTGACGCTCGCAACGAAGAATACAAATCACCCATCTACAGAACACTCGGCGTGAAAATGCTGACGAGCTTCAAATGCAGCTTCAAATGCAGCTTCAAATTCAGCAGAGTGCAGCTTCAGGAGGCCCCCAGCGGGTACACCATGCAACAAGAACGAAACATGACAAAAGCAAATGTTGGCTTCCCCTCTGCACACTCCCTCGATCCACCTTTCTCCTTAACAACAGCATCTCGCAGTCGCCGACGGACATCACGGCAATCATGGGATGCAGTTTCCCTCAGGGCTGCAAGCAGGGAAACAACTGGGAGGGATACGAAAAAGAGGAGCAGGAGGAAACACAGGGAAAGGGTGAATGGAGCATGAGACCCCGCACGAAATGGAATTGGAGCATGGAGAAGAGGTCGAAGTGAATGAGGCATACGCGGTGCAGACGCATGGTTAGGGATAGGATGTACTTCGACCCACCTGCAAAGAAGAGAGGGTGCGGAATTACGCGGGAGCGGAAGGGGCAATGGGCAGATGTGGTATCTTGCCGGTGTGAAAGTGTTTCTTGGACACTTGTTTGTGATGTTTTGCAGATAAAGGTCGCTCGGATGCGTGGAACAGCAACCAGCGCATATCTATGATAGTACGCAGAACAAAACGCCGAAACGAATATATGGCCACCCACTGGCCCACATCAAGTCTCAATATTTGCCATTCGCGCGGCACCCTCCAACGGGTGGACACGACGCGAAAGGCATAAAAAACAGTGCCCCCGACAAAAATATAACACATTCCAGCAGGAGCCCAAATCAACGACTGATGAATCGAAAAAATATTGTAAACCAAACTCAAGACCAATGCTCGACAACCTTGGGTAACGGCGCATCCAAACCGGCCCGCTGCAACCGGCTGACGTTGCGGACCTCTCAAAATATCTTCTCATTGGTTCGTTATCTCTATCTCTCTCGTTCTGTCTGCCCGTTTCTCTCTGTCTCTGTCTCCCTCTCTCTACGTTTTTTTTTTCTCTCTCTCTCTCTCTGTCCTTCGAATAGATGTATCTATACATGCACATATACACACATGTGTATGCACACGTGTATATATATATATATATATATGTATTACTAGAACCACGTGCGCGCTACGCGCGTGCTTAGGTTCTGGCCGCTGATGAGCCACGGGTGCCGCTGTAAGCCCCGCTGTGGCCACAACGATGATTTCCGGCGTTTTCGGGCCCATGCCATCAACGCCAAGAAACGCGTAGCCAGAACGCGGGGCGCCACGCTCCCGCGTATCTCACAATATCACGGCCGCCCTTGTTTGGTTTATCGAAACGCTGTGTTTCATCTGTCACTTCCGCTCTTTCACCTCGTGCCACCCACTGTTTTTGCACATCTGCTCGGTCTCCCCATGCCCGATCACGCAAACATCCGCCGGCTCCTGATATCGGGATTGGCTCGTGGCCTCGTTGCGCGCGCGTGGGAACGCGTTGTGTTGTTGTCATCGTCCTTGTGCTCCAGGATTCTCGTTTTCAGCGGCTGTTCAGCTGTCGGGAATCTGCAGAGGCCGCGCGTCAAAGTCCCGATCATCAGTGCCGTTCTCTGCAAGCAGTTGTTGTCGAGTCCGTCCACGGGAGTGGGTGAGCTTTTCTGTGTTGGACGCCAAACTTCGTGCCGGCGATACTCGCACCCGTGGGATCACAAGGTTCGGGCGCACTTAAAATGTTCAATGATTTGCCTAGCGAGTCCCATGTATGGGGCGGCCTGGAGCTCTGACGGGGCCTCTGGCGGTACCTTTTTTCGGCGCTCTGCGAGGCCTTTTTCAGGAGGTGAGGGAAGGGCACAAAACCGGAGAACAAATATAGTATCGCCACACACACACACACACACGCACCCGCACCCGCACCCGCACACACACAGACACACCGCTCGCTCGGGCGGGTCCGCCTGGCAAGGGTAAGCGGAGCAAAAACCGCGCGACATAATATGGTGTAGGGATGCCCTGCTCTCTCTGGCGGGGGTTTCTCTGGCGCTCTGGCGGGTCTTGCCCAGGAGGGGAGGGAAGAACACGAAACCAGAGGAAAAGTATCGTATAGCCACACCCCGTGCGTTTTGACGTGGTTACGTCGGGTGCGGTGTGAGGGGCACGAACAGACAGGGACTGGAAATTGTTTAGCAACACGCCTCTCGCTCTGCCAGGACCGCCCTTGAGGGGTGGGAGGGCCCAAGCAACTTGTCAAATGATAGGGTGTAGCGATGCCCCCTCTCGCTTTGGCGGGGCCTGTCTGGCGCTCTGGCGGGGCCGTCCCAGGACAGGAGGGAGGAACACGAAAGCTGAGAGGTGAGGGGAGGAAGAGGAGCGAGCGGAGGGAGTGGAGGCAAGGGGAGGGGGAGGCGGGCAGGAAGGGCGGAGGGGGGAAACCCTGGCCATGTGGGCCGTCTTCGGGCGCCCTGGGGCCTCCCGCTCCGGCTCTGTGGGGCTCTTTTGGGGGCCGCGTCGCCGGTCTTGGGGCGGTCGTGGGGGCGTATATCGGCCGTCGCGGGGCGCTGGAAGCTCGAGAACGCGGGCAAGCGGAAAACATTGAAAAACAACCATTGGAAATCAAGGATTTGGGCCTCTTCGGGCTCTCTCGGGACGTCTTTCAGAACTCTCTTGGAAGCCTTTTGGGCTATATGTTTGCCGTGTTGAGCTCCTCTTGGGCCACGTTGGGATCATCTGGGCCGTCCTGGAGCGCCTTGGGGCCTCCCGCTCCCGCTTTTGGGCCCATCTTGTACCTCTCCTGGGATTCTCTTGGGCAGTCTTGGGCTGCTCTTGTGCAATCTTCAGGCTCTCCAGGGCCGTCTTGGGGCTATTTCTGCGGCCTCTTCGGCGGTCTTGGGGCGGTCTTCGGGGCGTCTTCGGCCGTCTTGGAGCGTTGGAAGCTTGAGAACGCGAGAAAACGAAAAACATTTGAATGAAAACAACGACCGGAAATCGAGGATATGGGCCTCTTCGGGCTCTCTCGGGGCGCCTCTCGGGGTTTCCTTTTTTTTCTAGTCAAAAGATAGCGCAGTCCGAACATGCTCTGATCTCTTGGTCGTCGGCCTCGGGCGCCAGCGTGCGTTTCAGCAGGAGGTGGCGCCGATCCACCGGGAAAAAGTGAGACAATATTTCTGCCGGGGTGCTCGATGGCACCAGCAACGCCGTCAAGGTTCACTACTCGTCAAGTCGGAAGAAGTAGATAGAAACATGAAGTAGGAAAACGTTGGCAGTATATTGGGCTGAAGGGAGCAGAGGAACAGGAGGAGAAGCCATGCACCCCGCTCAATACAGCATTAAAACAACTGCCACAACGCTTTGCTTACAAGGCGACCCGCTGATGGCATTCCTCAGGCACAATCGCTTCCTTCGTGTGATCAGCTTCGCCGAGTAAGCCTCCGACTTGATACCCAGCGCGACCAAGGTTCTTCGCGCAGAGGTCTAGGTACTTGAAGCCCTGTTGCGCGCGCCCGCGGACAACCTTCACCTGGGCGGTCCTGGACTTGACCCAGAGGGGCGTTGGTGGCCGACGCCTTGAGCGCGGCGGTGGGAACCGCCAGCGCGTCTCAAATTCGCCCACGACCCTGTGGCGTTCAGCTCTTGGAAATAAATGTCAGAGCATTGCCGACCTAGCCTTTGCGCGCCCCCGTCCACACGAAACGAGATTTACGCATCGCCCCTTCGTGGGCTGCGGATTAAGACGCGACGCCCCGCCCTTCTTCATCAGGTCGAACCGCTCACCATGAATGTTCTGCAGATGCGGGTCGCCAACTGCAGACGACACTGTCGCGTGGACGGCCTCAGGGTTTGCGGCTGTCGGGCACGGCGTCGACTCGGCCGTCGGGTGCGAAGTCGGAAACGTTGTCGGGAAGGCCGTCGGGCACGGCGTCGGGAAGGCTGTCGGATGCGGCGCCGGATCGGCCGCAAGGCGCGGCGTCGGGAAGGCCGCGGGGAAGGCCGCGGGGCACGACGTCGGGAAGGCCGTCGGATACGGCGTCGGGAAGGCCGTCGGGCACGGCGTCGGGCAGGCCGCCGGGCACGGCGTCAGTTTCGGCGTCGGATTGGGCGTCGGGGATGGCGTCGGCTGTGGCGTCGGCTATGGCGCGCGCGCATGCTCGGGCTCCGGCAATGCAACGGCTGCCATAATTCGCCCACCAAGTCGCGACGACAGGAGCTGGCGACTCCCGCGTCGTGGAGCCGAACCAGATAATGGAAGGGCCCGCGCACCCATCCGAGCACCGCAGCACACATGTCCAGTGACCTCCCGCGCCGCCATGGCAATCTTGGGCGACGCTGCCGCAGCCTTCGGCCGCATTATCGTTGGGCTGACGCGCCGCCTGCATTCCGATCACTCCCGCGGGTATATTAGCGCCCCCATAGCGCCTGGAACGTCGGGGGGGCGCAACTCGCGCCGCAACAGAAATCTTCGCGCGCAGCCGACGACCGTGCGCCTGCCCGCCCAGAGCGGGCGCCACATTCGACGCGCAGCGTGGCATTGACGACCTCAGCGAGCTCGCCCTCAGAACGCTCTTGGGATGGGCCGTAGCCATCCTCGATGACCACGCGCATCGCCGCTGGATCCCCTTCCGAGCGCCTCCGCGCGCACAATGAAATAGAGAATGGCCAAGCTGGCGTGAGAAAGCCTCCATCGGAAGGATGCCGTCCGCGAGCGGAGCGCACGGGCTGGCACTGGGGCGAGGCGAGCTCGCTCGAGCGCGCACAGCACGGAAGGGATAATCTGCCTGAAAAAGCTCGAGCCAACAGGTTTGAGACAAGATGGCTACGGACGGCCCTCTGGGACGATCTCAGGCGCGTCTTAGGCCGTATTGGGGCGCTCTTTGGCCGTCTTGAGACACTCTCGCGCCGTCGTGGCGCCCTCTTTGGGCGCCTCTTGGGCCGTCTTGAGCCGTTTACTACTGCCTCGTGGGCCCCCTTGGACCGTCGGGGGCATGGGGCGGCGAGAACGCGAAAAAACTGTTCAAACACCAAAAACACAACTACTTGTTTCGCCTCCTGAGTGCCTCGTGGGAATCCTCTCGAAGGCATCCTGGCCGTCGCGAAGCCCTGGCGGGGCGCCCGCATCGAGGCCCAGTCGCCCTTCCGCCAAATCCTTCGACGAGAAATAGTCGCGCGCGAAGCGGCGGACCTCAGAGCGGCCGTCACGCAGCAGCTGGCCCAAAGTCAACGGGCGCGCCAACTCCGCCCAGGCTGAGCAAGCCAATGCCCATCGGCTCGGCCGTCGCAGGAGCGCCCTCTCAACTAATGCGCCCTGG